TTGCCGGTAATAGATTGTATGATATTAGTAGACTAAAATTCGTTTATATCGTTGGTGATCAAATAAAAACTATCAATGTGATTTACATTTAAGCGCTTATAAAATAAGTTGATCATAAACCACCAAAATTTGAAACATTTTACTAAGACATTTTATTTTAGCATTTGGGATTTTTCCGTTAATTCCCAAGCGACGTATAAGTGAATCCGAGTCCCCAAAGCAACCGTGTAGATATCATTGTTTCTAAAGTAAGTTTTTGATAAGAATGAGCATAAACAAATGGGTCATTAACTTTATCTTTTTACCTTTGGGAGAGGTGCCCCTAGTCTCTTGAAGACGGCACTTGGTGTGGACGAGTAAAGAACACTTGGATAAGTGGGGCTGGAAAGCATGAGATCTATTGAGCTGCCATGTGAAGCATGCACTTTATCGACATCAATAAATCCATTTGTTTCGGGATTTCGAGTAGCATTCAAAGCTTGATCCATTACATCTAGGCTGGTTCTGGGGTCCTGTCCTGGTAGGCTATAGCTAAGTGAATCTAAAGTTATAGAGCAAAAATAATAATATAAATATGAAAGATAAATGGCGAGTATGATAGTGGCAGTAAGGCTGAATGTAATAATAAATATAGTCCAGATAAAAAGCTTGGAATATATTCCTAAGGCATGGAAATTTCAAATAAATATCAATCATATCATTTTGCAAATTCACGTAAAATTGGTTTTGAATGCATACATTATGCACAATAGTTGTGATAACTCATAAGAAGATGAGAGAAGAAATGTAATGCGATGGATTTTATTTCCCGAAATAATAAGTCAGATCGCATAAAGATTATCTATATTTCTGTTTTATTTTACTTCATACCAATTAAAATGAGAATTAAATATTGCACAATAGATCGTAAATAAGATAGGCCCGATGTCATTATGAAGTGTGTAGAAAGAGAGTCTATTTTAAAGATACTATAAAATATGACTTCGATAAATAAATTAATAGAAAACTTCAAAGCACTCTATTATGAGGAAAAGAAAAAGGAAAGCTATTAACTAGTAAATGTGAAGAAAAAGATGATGTGGCCTTTTGTTTCGCAGCAGTTTTCTTTACCTGTATAGTGTTTGTTTTGACCTACTTTTCGCAACTTAGTTGGAGCGACATAGAGAAGTTCCTAGTCCTGCGAACCCTAGCATATTGTTCAGGATGCTTTCCTGAAAAGGGCATTTGACTTGGGGCATTCCCAGACGTTAAGCAAGCAACATCATATCGTCCACTTACCTATTCACACCATTCCATGTTCTCGTTTCTTCTAATGTAGCCAAAGACAATGTCGCTTCAAGCGAATTTAGTTAAGCATAAACACATTCACCTTTGATCGCAGGTATGAAGACCAAGGTGGTGTGGCCTTTTGTGTGGTCGCAGTCTCCTTTCGTTGTATAGTGGTTTTTTGACCTTGTTTTCGCAACATGGTCATATTGGTAGGAAGACTCATTGGAACGCACCTAGTCCGGGGTC